AGCAGCTGCAAATTGTTGATGTCCGGCGAATTGGTCAACAGGTAGCCCGCAACGTCTGCGAGTGGCTGGCCAAAGAACAGCTCCAGCATGGCCTGGCAGGTGGACTGGTTGCCCTCCTCGCGCGCCACCGCCGCCGTCTCCAGATAGAGATTGCCCAGGCTGTTCACGTTGCAGTGATTGCGCAGCAGCTGCGTCCAGGCGACGCAGCGCAGGAATAAGGAGCTGCCCAAGCTGCCAATATGGTGCTGATGATGTTGATGCCCCTGCTGCAGCTGCTGCTGCTGGCGCTCCTCTCTGCCCTTGTTGTCCATGGGCAGCAGCATCAGCGGCTCCTGGCTGCTGCTCAGCGTCTGGGTGATGTGCTTCAGCAGCGTCAGCTGCTGCCAGTGCTGCTGCTCGCAGCTGTAGTTGAGCAGGCACTCGCGCCAGTTCATGTCCAGCAGCTGCTGCACGGGTGGACCCACCTCAAACGGCTTGTGGTCGTCCACTGAGTGGCACTGCTGCAGCACAATGTTCTCCAGCTTCTCGAGCACACAGTCGGCCGAGAAGCTGGCGTGCGGCTCGTTGTCGCTGGGCCAGATGCTCAGCGTGTGCAGCGCAGCGTTCAGCTCGTCCGATGTGGCCTCGCTCTTGGCCAGCAGCTGCTCCAGCACACTCAGCTGCGTCATGCTCTTGTGCAGGAAGGGATTCACCTGGATGTTGTCGCCGGCGCGCTTCCACTTCGCCTTCAGCTCCACTAGCTGCGTCCACTGTCCCGTGCAGTGCAGGCACTCGAACAGCTGCGCCTGCACAAACTGGCGCGTATGCGTCTCCAGATCCCCATCGGCCAGAACGGACCGGTAGCCGGCCAGCGCCAGCTCCGTGCGCTCAGCTGCCTGATCTGCGGCAGACAGCAGCCACTTGTAGCACTTGCTGCTGCGCGCGCGCGCCCACACGTACAGGCCGCGCAGCGAGTCCGATTCCTGGCAGCTGACAAAGGCCCAGGCCAGGTAGACTATCGCCTGGCTGTACGTGGAGTCCTGCGTCTTATGGGTGAGCAGGATTTGCTGTGAAAAGAGACGGAAATAAGTACGAATTCCAAAGTCTTTTAAACTAGAGTATGGTAGAGAATGCTCGACTGGGAAATACTCTGCACCCAAACACAAATATTACACTAAATTTTTCTATTATGGATGCAGAACAAACGAGCGATCGATTTTTATCGATAATAAGAATATGGTACAGTTATCGGAAAAAAATTATATGCTTGGGCTGCGTGTACTTTACAAGAATCTAGATGTCAAATTCTGGATCTCTACCTTTTATAGTTTACGAGATTATAGAGTTCATGCTGACGGACAGACGATCAGAAAGAGCGGACATGGCCAGATCAACTTAGCTGAACGCTCTAATCAAGGGTCTTGGGATATTTTCACTCCTTCAATGAGTTCAGAGAATCGAAAGCAATGAAACCTACCTGGGCATAGCGTATGACCAGCTCCGGCTGATGACAGTGCATGGCTATGATAATGACGCTGGTGCGAATGCGATTGAACCAGGACTGGCATGTGGGATTGTTGAGCCGGAAGAAGGCGCTGACTGGCTTCTCGGGTGCGCGCAGTGCAAAGGCGCTGCCCTCGGCCGCATTGTAGATGAGCTTCTCAAGCGCATCCAGGAAGCCCAGCAGCAGGTTCAAGTTGGCACGCGTGTTGGAGAGCTGCTGCAGTGAGAGATCGTCGAAGTCTCGACGCTCATTGTCCTTGCCACAGCCACTGAGAAGTCGGGCATAGCGCGTCACAATGGCCTCGAAGGCGAGGAACGTGTCCTGCGGCTTGCCCAGCGGCGTGCGCAGCTTCTGGTCGACACAGAAGCGCGCCGCCTCGAACTGCAGCCAGACGGTGGCCAGACGCTGACAGCGGCGCGTGCACTGGGAGAGCTTCTCCTGCCGCTCGTCGAGCTGCGTCACCTGGCAGCTGCGTATGAACATCGACCGCAAGCACTCGCCGAATGGCTGTTGTTCCGGCGTTTGCAGGCGCTCAAAGAAATCCCGAAAGACATTTTCGCGCATGGCGCTGCACTGGCTCAGGCGCTGCTGCCAGACGCAAATGTGATTGCTGCCAATGCCGGAGGGCACGCGTCGGGCGATGATCAAGCTGAGCGGCAGCTGGGCATAGATCTGGGCGTAGGCCTCATGGGCGCTGCTGACCAGCGATTGGAGCTGCTGCAGCGCCGTCTCGCGATACAAAAGGAGCAGCTCAAGGCTCAGATTCGATGTGCCATAGCCGAGCACGGCCTGGATGCACAGAGCACTCTCCAGGGGCGCGTATTTGGCAGCTGTGCTCGCAATGCTCTCGCAAATGGTCATGAAATCGTCATGCTCCAGCAATACGGCGCAGCGCGAGCCACACTCTACCAGCAGAGATTTTGTCCAGCCGAGCAGATGCTTGATATTGACCGGCGCCAGCTGTGCACTGCTCACCAAGCAGTGGGCCAAGAACTTCAGTATCTGACCGAAGCTGTGAGCCGTCGGCGACTGGCAGCTGCCCGGATGCAGGTTCTTGTCGGCGTCGCTCTCGCGTAGCAGACTCGAGTTGTTGCGGAAATTGTGATTGGCCTGGCAGTGGACGACGAGCAGGCCGAGTATGGCATGATGGGTGGTCGGATGCTTCGACCAGATGCTCAATTCGCCAGCACGACAATTGGTTATCAAGAGCTCCAGTATGGATGGCTTGCAGGCGTACATGCCAATGATTGAGGACGTCTGTTTGGCCAGTGCCGCCAATGTGGCCAAATGAAAGATGAGCAAGATTTCCGCTTCGCTGGAATCGCACTCGGCCTGGGCCAGCTGTGAGATGCATTTGTCCACGTCCTGGACGAGCTGCTTGTATGCCTGCTGCAAGATGGGCACATTCTTAATCAGCAACGTCTCCTGGCAGGTGCGCAGCAGCAGCTTGTGGGCCTTTGTCTCGTTCTGTAGTCGTATGCTGGTCAAATATGTCTGCTCTGCAGCATCAGCGGGATCCGACTGAAAGATCAGTTGGACCAGGCTGGCGGGCACACGAGCGCGCAGCTTCCGCACCGTGCACAACAGCAAATACAGGCAACTCAACTTTTGAGAGTCGAACAATTTGGATATGTGCTCGAACTGCATGTGGATTAACTTGTCGAGAGTCTCTGCGTCCGGATTGGCATAGCCATTGAGCAAGCAAATGCAGAACAGCTCATTGATATTCATCAGAGCATCGTCGCCTACGCCGTGCGGGTTCTCCAGCATGGCGGGCAGCACTTTGATGAGATGCACGAGTGCTAGGGCAACGATTGACTCGCATGAAATGTGCATGCGGGTGAGACATTTGAGCAGCGTATTGAAGGCGCCAACGAAGGCGCCGATCCGCTCGTCCAGGCGCTCCGATTTGTCCGATATGTCCTCGATGAACTGGGTTAAAAGTCCATAGCTAAAGTCCAATTGCTTGCTAAAATATGGTGTCAGCTGCTCCAGCACGTAGGCGCAATGCGTCCTCACTTCCTCGGGCTGGCCAACCTCCAGCTGCCAGCCAATGATGATGTCCACCACATCCGTAAAATGGCACTCGAAAGTGTCGCGATAATTGAGCGAGAACTGCACAATGCACGTACTGATGCCCATGAAGATGTCGGGGCTCTCGGCTCCCTCCAGAAAGTCTTTCAATAGGGCCATTATCTTGTCCGAAAAAATGTGCAGATCGCCCTTTGTGTCGCAGCTAAAATAAAGCAGGCGTACAGATCACGGTTCACGTGGACATGGGATGACACTCACCTGAGCGTCGTCTGTAGCGCAACAATTAAATATTTTTGCATGCGCTTGTGCATCCTAAAGTTATTCACAATGAAGTCCTCATAGATGGGATATGACATGCGATTGATGTAGCCAATCACTCCAAGAGTTTTGCTGCACTCCTCTAGCACTGGGGCCGGGCATTGTTTAAACAACGACAGCATCCCATCCAAGATAACGTCAAAAGACCGAGTCAAATAGCCCACATTGACTGGAGTCCGCACGGCCATGTCCAGTTTATTGCATAGTTCGAGAGCAGCCGCCGGGCTAGATTCGTTGTGCAGGCGGCGCATGATCTTCGACATGCGCATGTCGTCGCCGCCCATTTTATCTCCTCGATCATTGGATGAGAATTGCACTGTGAATATAAGAAGCAAATGCAGACAGTTACAGCTACAGACTGTACATACATAGGCAGTTGGGAGAGCTGATAGATGGATGGATGGGTCACTTACTCCTGCATTGATGCACTTTACGCGAAATGCCCTTTGTCATATCATTGTTTATATTACGCAGCACTGGATTAGCGTTGGCGGACGCTTGCATATCGTGTGCTGGAGGCCACAGCGTATTTTCATTTATATTATTAATGTTGCTGTTGTTGTTATTATTAATATTGTTGTTGCTGTTGCTGTTGCTGCTGGTGTTGTCGTTCACAATGTGTTTGTTACCGCTCCTTTTGTTGCTCTTGTAGCCAGAACCATCGGTCAGTATCGATGCATCCTCGTTGGCATTATTGCAATTGCCCAGCGGTAAGACAGCGCTTTTCATCGAAAGATCACCAAGGCTTGTGATCATATATGTACATTAAATTTGCGCCACCGAATTGTTTTTGTTGTTTTGGCTTTCACGTTCAGTTCATGGAGATGTCAACCACTGACAAACAGTGTGTCCACATTATTCGATATATGTTACGGTTTTCAGCACACAACTATCGATTGATTCGGTAACCGATAGTAAAGTGCTTGGCAGCACTGCGTAAACAAAGATCGCAGTTTTTTTTCAAATTTTTATGCAAAAACTATTTACAAATTTTAAATTCAAAATCATTTTGATACTTATTTATAAGAGCTCAAGTTTAAAGGAAACGAACTTAGAAATATATTTTACGTCTATACTTTCAAGATTTTATTAATTTAATACTAAATACATTACTACAGTACATATTTAATCAATATATAAGAAATGAATTAAGTGAATTAATTTGTCAATTTGCCATTTTGCCAATCAAATGTTGTGTATAGGCTGCCACAAGATTTGCCATCTCCGCATACACTTGATACGGATGCTGGGGCAGTGCTGCAGATTGACAGTTTGTCCATTGGGCTTCCAGTAGTGGAACAGGCTGAAGATCCAGAGCCTCCACCGGTGGCGGTGGTGGCTGCTCACGTTCCACCAACGAAAGGCAAATGTCACCGACCTGCAATTGCTGGCACTTTAGCTCGTAAAGATCAAAGCTCAATTGCGGGTTGCACGATGCCCAGCCCTGGCCATACACAAATAAAGGATGAGCCGATGCCACCTCCATGGTGACCTAGAACGGAGCACAAATTAAATCCAAATCAAATTCAATAAATGTGCAATGGCCGCACCTTCAAATGCTGCATATCATAGCTAAACGTAATCTTGTTCATATGCTCTGAGCTCCTGTCTATCTTGACCACCGTCGCCTCCTTGAGGTCGAATTGCGGACAACGCAACGCCGACTGAATGAAATCCTCGGTGCGTATGTCCTCCACACGGCGCAACACGCCCGTCGACAGCTCGATGTAGGTGCCTCTTCTGAAGCAGGCGCTCGCCTCAATGTCTTGAGGGCTGCAATTGATTCGAATCGTGATTATTTCATTAAACATTCGGCAATGTTTTGTCACTGGTGTGTGCGAACATTTTGTATGGGTTGTATGGATGCTCCATGGTTTTTCCGTCTTTGGCACGACCTGTTCGCTGCACTTGCAATAGAAGACTGACTCAATCTCTCACCCAGTTCGATTCATTCAATTGAATGTGGTGCTTTCCCTGGGCTTTCCAGGAACGTCACCCACTCGCCGACCATCGCTCACGCACTTCAATTTGTGTTTACCTGCCCAAGAGTGGCAGGTAGCTCAGGCACCGCCCGCAGGGCTCTACCTAGGTTTCTGGCTAACAGCCATTGTGTTGCTGCTGCGGCTGTTGCGCCAGGCGCCTTGAACCGGACACCCTAGAAATACACAAAACCGGCAAGGGAACGCAATTGCTCTTGGGTTGGCATGCATATTCGTATACACACATTTGTACACATTTTTTATTGGACTTTTCGTTTTCGCTTTGAGACTGAGGACTTGATTTGTGTGACGCGGCGACGCTTGCCAAAGCTCGGCGGCCACTGGAAGTCCATGGCGTAGAGATAGTAGCGCACATAGAAATAGGTCACGCCCAGCGCACAGTAGACGGAGGTGAGCAGCAGCGGCATGAACGGAAGCGACAAGTGCAGACCCAATAGCCGACTGATTATATGCTCGTAGATTGGAATGGCTATGAAGCCGTAGAAGTAGATCCACTCAAGTATATGGATGCTCGGCTTGGTCTTATACACACGCTCCAGCTGGCCATACATCATGGCCACGTAGGCCATGTAGAGCGAGTAGCGCGGCACCAGCAAATCCACATCGAAGAGCAGCGGGAACAGCGAAAAGTAGCCCGTGATGGCCAAGATGTACGCAAACTTGGCATCTCGATGATCAATCACGGCAAGCAGGCTGTGGATTGGACAACGAATTAATTGACAGTCTAGCCAAACTCAGAGACTTCCACTACTCACCACATGGGCAACAGGCACATGAGTATGGCCTTCTCGTGGACGTGCCAGCCGAACATGAAGGAGGAGCAGGCGCAGAGGACAATGGCGCGCATGAACACCAGTTTGGCTTGCCTGGCAATTGTGAGTCGTGGTTAGATGATGCAACAGTGAAACAGTTGGATTGCTTACTCTCTGGTGGGCGTGAGGAAGAGCTTCAGCAGTATGGGCAGCATAGAGAGTACAGTGAGTGCGAACGTAATGGACGGCGTGATTGTGGGCAGCACTATGTGCTGCACCTCCTGCACCAGCCCAGAGGTCGTGGAGGGCACATCGGGATCGCGACTTCTCCCCAAGACGCTGACAGCCACCTTATCGGCGGCATTATAGAGTGCCCAAATGTTGGGCGCCCAGTAGGCGTGTGTGAGGCCGCGCTTGAAGGGGAACAGGCGCGACATCAGCTGCGGCAACTGCTGCCAGAAGGGGCCAAAGGATAGTACGAATGGTGTAAGTCCCGCAGCGAGCAGCTTAATCGTATTCTGTACAAACTTTCCTTCGCCCAGGCAATAGAACTTCAGCAGATAGACAGCAAAGGCGGGCGCCACGTAAAGGAATATGTGCTTGAAGTTCAACAGGACGGCGAATGCAAATGCGCTCCACAAGTAGCGTTTCTTAATCATGGCACTTATGCTTAGGAACAGTATGCCAAATAGGAATCCATTGTATTGAAAGTGAATGTGATCTACAAAAATGAGACCTACATTCAGGAGGAGGAGCATGGAGCCAGCAATGTGCTTCTGTGTGGATTGTACGACACCAAGGGCGGCGAGGATACTGTGAACGCCTAGCATATAGATCAGATCCATTACAATTATAGAGCTGCGCTGGAAATACACCGTCGCCTCGGAGGCATAGTTTAGGTTCTGTACAATAAGCATTTTGGGATCAACATATTTGGCCACTTGTGAGAGCAGCCACTCGAAGTAGGCGAAAAAGGGCGGATAGTCCAGTGTCCATTCACTTGTTGCATCCAAATACCATCGGTTGATTGGTAAACTGTGTGTTATGGCCAACCAATTGCGATGCACTTCAAAATCCGTCGAATAGCTGCAAAGGAAATTGAAATTGAACTGAAATCACCAATTCTTGCCGGCCGGCAAACGCCACTTTAAAGTTATACTCACTAGGCGGGAAAGAGTAGCACTTTGAGTGCACTGCTTATGGCCACCAAATCCAAAAAGTAGCCACTCATATTGCTGCAATTAATGTTGACATCAGCTGGGGAACCATTTGAAAAGCTTCTATTCTTTAGTTTTTTAATAACACGCACGTTAACGTCGTTTGTGATGGTATTCTTTCTATTTTTCTTCAGTAAATATCGACTGTTCGCTGACCTATCGATGTTTGGTATTTTCAAGGCAGCCACAAGTTTTCGGTATTTTTAAGCGCAATTTGGATTGGATTTGAGCGTTTTGTTTACATCGTTCACCTGTAGGCACGTGGACTCTTCGTCTTTAATAATGGGAGACATTGGCGAAGCTTTATTTATAAGCACACTTAATAATGAGCGAGCATCCTGCTGCGTACAAGACCTGCGCACGGGAACGGATCTGATGCGTTACAAAGGCGGCGGCACGATGCAGCCGCACAGCCTCCAAATGCTCGAGGATCACTTTGTGATAGCAGCCAACAGTACGAAGCCTTTGTTGCATGTGTGGCCGATCAATGGGCAGGAACAGATGACCAGCATACGTTACGTGGTGCCCGGCAAGGTAAATGCCTTGGCCTTGACGCCAGACAGTGCCTATCTGGTCGCTGCCATACAGGAGACCATCTACGTGTGGCATCTGAATTCTGGGCGACTTCTCAACACGCTATCCAAGCATTATCAGCCCATCAATTGCATTCGCTTTACGGACAACGGCGAGCATTTTGTCACCGGCGGCAAGGATGGTGCCGTGCTTGTGTGGAGTTTAACACGTGCGGTTGCTCCCTTCGGAGGCGGCGACAGCGAGGAGAACGCTCCACTTTACAATTTCAATGACCATGGGCTAGCGGTGACTGATGTGCACATTGGGCTTGGTGGCATTCGCGCCTTCATGTACACCGTCTCCATGGACCGTTGCTGCAAGATTTATGATCTGAGTGACGGCACAATGCTCTTGAGCATCGTCTTTCCCGTCTCCCTGCACAGCGTGATCGTTGACAAACTAGAGACGAGCGTCTATGTGGGCACCAGTGAGGGTCAGGTGCTTGTTTTCCACATGGATAAAGTGCCGCGCATGAAGGTAAATACCAATAACATTGAAAGCTGTTTCATTTGAGTTTTCTACTATTTTCTTGACTGTCACCTACAGGAATACCATCTAGAGGAGGAGGAGAGCCAGGCATTTGTTGGCCACACCGCCGGCACAGCCATCACCTGTTTGGCTCTGTCTGTGAATGCGCAACAGCTGATCTCTGGTGGCGAGGACAAACAGGTGTGCATCTGGGATGTCGTCAGTCGGCAGCTGGTGAAGAGCATTTCACAGCCAGGCGCCATTACGAATTTGTATTTGCGCCTCATAAGCACATCCCGATTTCATCCAGGTCCCAAGGAACAAAAATCATTTGCCGACAATCTGAAGCGTATGATTAGTCCCGATGATGACGATGATTGCATCGAGCTGCTCATCACAGAGGAGTATCCAAAGGCACCCAAATTCCTCGAGCCAAACTTTGACAACAGCTACGATGGCAGTGCCGGAAACTTTGTCAGCCTTTCAGATGACTACGAGGACGTTGCGATGAGCGAGCCAGAAGAGGAGTCATCTGCTGTTTATGCGGAAATGCCAGAAGCTGCTGCCAGTGCTCTACAAGTGGAACTCGCGGAGCTGCGCGCTGAGAATGCGCGACTCAAGCTGGACGCTAAGCGCCTAAAGGACGTTAATATTAAAGATCAAATTGTGACACCTGTACAAAGTGGCAAACCGCCAAAGAAAGACAAAAAACCTCGAAAAAAATAAATTTATAAGGATTTGATTTACAATTATGTTATGTTATCATATATTTTTTGTTTATAACCAATAAATGTTTTGTGGAAACAAATTGCTATAACTAGCAAAGAAACAAAATTGTGGGCTTAATTGATATGTGAGCTGGGTGGATTTTCGTCACCCGGCTGACTGTCCATGTCATCATCCTCGCTCTGCTCACCAGAAGCGCTGTCATTTTCCTGCGCCAGTTGACGACGTATTTCGCGATTCGAGTCGAGGAGCTCGCGTAGCTGCGACAAAATGTCTTCAGTACGTTGCTCCACAGCGTCCAAGGCACAACTTAGAGCATCAAGGCTCTGATTGACATCCTCCATCTCTGCAAGACGCAATACCACATGTTAAGTGCCTAAATATATGTATATATTTTATCTATGTATTAGCATATTACCCTGGAGATCAGCCTCTGGAACATTGGTATTGTCCGAATCGCCAGGGGACAGCGGATCGTGATTGTTTCTGGGAGGCATCGTTGTTATTGCTGCTAAAACAAAACGTCAGCTGACTTTTGCTTGATTAATAAGGCAAACATAGGCGTATGCATAGCTATGACCAAAGGGGTTCCATTTTGTCTCATTTGCTCACAATTTATAACAAACAAGGGAACTATTTTTGTAGAAATATTTAATTTTCATTAGCTTTCCGAAACATAATAAAAGTTAATAAAAATATTGACGATCCTCTGCCAAGCCCTAACTACGCCCATGCCTGGCGGTGACGTTTATTTCGATCAACTTATCGATGAATTTTTCAAATAAAGGCAATTTTATTGCTACTTCAACATACGTTTTACAGCACTGACTGTCAATCAGCCGGCTATAATAACAATATATAGCAAACACACACACATTCTGGTGACTGTTGCATAAAATTTAGATTGAACACTTTTACCTGGTACAAGTAAGTCGTTGCGGCATAAAAACACATGTGCATATTGTCATTGAACGGCTTGTATTTATGGCCACAATACACACACACACACACACACACACAAACAACCATTGCCACTTCACAGCGAACAGTTAACAATAAATTGTGTGTTGTTTGCTTTCGGTGTACGTGCTCAGCCAAATGGAGAGGCCTAAGATAATATACATAATTAAATACGCCATAACAACAATATACGCCTATAATTAATTAGATTTTTGCTTATTCTTTTTTATTTAAAAGTTTTAAATTACAAAAAAATTTGTATCACAATTAGTATTATTTTATTTTGTCCATTACATTTTAAATAGTATAATTGTTGTTGTTGTCGCTGTTGATATTGATGCTGTAGAGCCCAATTGTTGCTTTCTATTGCTATGTGGTTATGTTACATGTCACATTTTTATGCCGTTT